GGCCTCGGGGCCCGGGGGCCATCCCGTAACACGCGGTTATGGAGTTCCTAGGCTCGTCCCGGTGCGGAACCAGCTACAATATCTGTGCGCGGGCGTTACCCCGTCGGTTTTCTTCTCGCGTACTAGTCAGGAACTCCGCTGCAACGGCAGCCAACCTCTGAATTCGAGCTTCGTCGAAGGTATCGCATTCAGATCCGTTTTTTCCCGTGACATTTTTCATCGTCGATGGAATCTCGCGTCGACTGGGATGGATCTACCGTGGATGGAAGTCGGGTTGTAACCGTTGGAAAAGGAGCATCTCTGACGTCGCTTGTTCTCCTTCGGTTTCGAGGGGACAGGTTAAAGCAATAGAAGATACGTTATCCCCGGTGCGTTTTAACGGAGACGAATATAATTGTGCTCGTATCGAATACGTATCGATAACTGCGGATGCGATTAAGCACATTGTGCGCCGCTGATCGAGAACATGAAGAATGGTGGTGTTCGAAACGTCAAAAACAGCATTGGTCGCGATTCGCCCGGGATTTAATTGTACGTTGACTGACAAGACGGCACGAACGATAGGGAGCGTACAGATGGCACACAAACGTCGTTCCCCCTGTTCTATCTTCTTTCTCTTCTCCTTTTCGCCTCGCGTACGTTCTTTGAGAGCACACTTTCGTCACACGGTTATAATTGCAGCTCCGTAAGCTGGAAAAGTCTCGCTTAAAAATCGAGGTCAAAGGGAACAAAGAAACCGGCCTTTGTTCTTGCCCATTTTTATTTCTTTTCCCAGACCGAGAGATTCTTGATTCCATGCTCTCTGTTGTCCTATCGAGAGAAAGGGGTAGGTGAAGGCTTTCCTTGTTTACCTGACGTATCAGATGCCCCGTGCCATTAGCGACGATGCAAACGAAGATTGACACTGTGCCTAGCTGCAGACAGTCGTGATCGAGATTTCTTTCGTTGCCGCGCTAAGCACGTGCAGTACATCTTCACGGAATTCTCGTCGATGTCTAAATCAACGGTTCCCTTTCGAAACGCGAACGTATCTTTTCATTCTCCGTTTATTTCTACAGACTCACGATGTGTTCATCACGTTCCCAGTCGACTTTTCTCAAGATTCGCTCGTCACAATTTTCTACCGCGTTTTCTTTGCATTTATTCTGCTAAGATTTCACCCCTCACATTTTCGCAAAGTTTGTAAGAGTAAAACCGAGCTTACGCGTTATGGGACGTCGTATCGTTTGAAAGGTCGAATCATGTGTATTCACGTATGTTTGTGCTTAGTGATGGATATTCGATATTGTTTCTTCAATTTTCGCACGATTTAATGTACAATTTGAAGTTGCTTCGATGGTTGTTTAAAATCAATAATTCTTGAGAAATTCAATATATTGCCTTGATGGTCACGATGACTAATCAAATAATTAAAAATCACGAGAAGGAATCCGAATACTATTAACATTTAACTCGTAATAGGAAGTATTTCATCTACAAAATGAAGTAATACTTTCATCAATTTTAGCACATAAATATCTCACGTGGTCAGCTGATTTATACCTCACTTGGTCAGTCAACGTTAACATAAGCATAAGGAATATATGTATGATTTTTTAGTTTTAGAAGTCTTGGAGAATGTTTGAACTGTATTCGAATATTTGAAAAAGTGAGAGTTTTGGAATAAAAAAGTAAGGAAACTGTCTAGTCATTGCATTAAATTATTTTTTATAGAAAGTAGTGTATCCTTGTTACGTATGTATTAATAAAATGTTGCTTGAGGTGCTCTGTTCTGAATCTTTAAGACCCGACCGAATAACACACAGAAATTTACCTTTTAACCTTTGAAAGAAACAGTCATTGAAAGGGAAAAATGAGTACAATAATCTTATTCTCTAGTTCTCGTTGTAATTGTATACATACTTTCAGTAAATAATAAAACTCGCTGTAAACTCGCTATTCGAATCGCTGTTAAAATAGAGCGCTAATGTCAGTGATTTTTAGCATTGGAGCAATAATAAATCTTCATCATTAGAGCAATAATAAATCTTTAACACTATAGCAATGATAGATTAACATTGTCAGTGAATTGTTCCTTGTTTATTGAAGCATCAACGCAATAAAAATTGTCAACAGAAAATGGTTCGAAAGTTTGAAAAGTATTTAATTTTTAATGGTTCATAAAACGCATCGAAGCGATTTCCTATTATCATTCGTACCTTTCGTCAATCACGAGCATCTCCTTTCTCTCCATTGTTCGCCGATACACGATGTTCCATTCACGGTGTGGTTAGACGCTATCGGACGTAACTCCATGCCAATCGATAGTTCTCCGAGAGATAGGGCAGCTGGAGCTCCTCCCTCGACCTCTCGTGAAATCTGCAGACCTATTTCCGACGTGGTTTTGTGGTGCAGGTGATATGCGGTACCGGTGGATCGTCGTCGGAAGGAAGTCTAACCTGAAACAGCGTGTAAGCGAGAGATTGCTAATCGAAGGAGCCGCGGGCAACGATCCCTAGACACGGTGTCGGAAGATGAAACAGAATCCTTATGGTGAAAGATAAACGGGAGAAGCTTCCGTTAACGTGGAACGGTTCTGTCGAGTAGACGAGAGAAACGGAGAGTAGAAAAAGAGGTAAAAAACTGGCGTCCCAAACACGTGACGGTGGATCTCGCGGGACTCGGACCCGTCGACGGGCAAATGGAGGATCTTTGTCGAGCCGGGGAAGCGCTACGGGCATGCAATGCGGCTTGTGCGCCGTCGTCGCGGGACTCTTTCGAAGAGCCATGTGCATTGCGGGCAGCAGACGGGGTTCTGGGGAATCATGCTACCAGGAACTCACCACCGAGGCCCAGGTGCGACGGCATTCGCAGGTCGCGCCCATTGAAACCGGCCTGAAGGCGGCTGAGATCGCGGAACACGTCAAAGAGGCCGTTGAAACGCAGGAGGTGAGAATTTTATGCTCCGCATACAGCCACTCACGTGCGATAATGAAAAATGTCTATTTTTTAACACACAACCGCCAATATTAGTATAATGAAACACATTATGTCAGTGACATGGTGAGAAACGTAATGTCACTAACATAATGACATTGTTTATAAAATTGAGCGTACAACGGCAGAAATGTGTATATTTTAATATACAGAGATATTACGTAATTGTTGTGATAGAAAACGTGTCATTGACGTAATAACATTGTCATAAAATTGAGCGTATAATAGCTGGGAATGCATGTTTTTTTTAAACGCAGTTACTGAGATTCATAATGAAAGAAGTGTCATTGACATAATATTGTCCACACGGTAGTAAAAAACGTGTATGTTTTTAATACACGATCACCAACATTGATAATAACGATATACTCTCAATATTGGACGTACAATAGTAAAAAATGTGTATTTTTAACACACAATCTCTAATATTGACATAATCAAAAATGTTATGTTATTGACATGAAATTGTACATTCACGGAATTGAGTGTACAGTAACAAGATATGTGTACTTTTTAAGATTTCAAACGTCAACGTTAACATAATTGAATGAACAGTGTAGTAAGTTGTTTTGGGATATATCCTATAAGGAATAACGGAAAAATATTAAATAATTATCTCTTCATTATAAAACGTGAAATAATAACTTTGTCCACCTCGTCTTTACTATTTTTTGAGAAATGAAACGAGAAATGAAATTAAAATATTTCTTTAAAGAATGGAGGGCCTTCGACGAACCTCCACTTTAAGGTCACCTCTATGTTTTAATTGTTATTCTGTACTTTCTAGTCTTTACTGTAATAATGTATGTCGAGTAACCTGTAATCAAAATAACCATGATTTAAATGACTGTAATAACAGTAATAATTATTTAAACAACTATAATAATAGTAACAGTGATTTGAATGATCTATAATAAAAGTAACAATGGTTTGAATGACCTATAATAAAAGTAACAATGATTTGTATGACTAATAATAAAAGTGATGTTTTTAATAATTTATCAAATGATTTTAATAATCTCTAATAAAAGTATCGTTTACCAGAGGTTATACATAAATGGGTATTTCTGACGCTTTTATCTGAATTTTTACTTTCCTTCGTACTTCTAAATTTATTTTCGCACTTATTGCGAAAATCAGCAATTCCGCAATCACTGAGTTTACATATTTTCTAGCATGGTTAGTATTTTCTCGAACACAATATCTTTATTAATCGTAAGCATAGTAAGAAATGTAAATATTCGTTAAATATGAACTTAAGTTATTTAGAAAAACTATATTTAATGACCTTATATTATACGGCATTAAAATAGTCTTAATTTACGTTATGCTGAAGATGAAAAAATACAGCATGCCATTTAAGAAAAATAGAGACGAACTTGAAATTTCTGAGGCCTCTGTATTTTTTGAAGAAATATGACTGACATATTGGGACTTTAATGTATTATAACTTTCATAATTGTAATTTTTTTGTATCTCTAAAAACAGTGATGATATTTAGAGTGAACAAAGTTATTGTCACACCGAGTATATTTTTGAACAAATGTAAATTATACCACTATAAAATTCAACGGATAGTTACATAAACTATTCGGATTGTGTTTCATGATACGATGATTTTAAATAACTCGTAAATCATTCACTGTAGAGAAGAATCTTTCAAATTAAAGTTGTATACGGAGGTAGTTTTCTAAATAGAATAATATTATTTTTTAAATTTGCATAAACCATGCAGATCTTTGTCAAAAAGCATTAGTAGATACGATCTAAAATTAATAGTTATTGAGATATTTCTACATTTACCCTGCGGAGGTCGTGGTATAACTAACAGACACATGCCAAATCTTTTTATAAATATTTATAAACAGACATGTTGCAGACATCTTGACTTAGCGACAAAGAGTAGTTGTTAACGAAAATCTCGATATATTTTCTATTTTAGTATGATCAAATATGCAGTAACAATCGGTGGTAAATTATGTTTTATTAAAATTGCAGTAAATTTTTAAATTATGTAAGAGCGTTTTATTTTTATACTGCCAAAATGTATTAGTATATTCTATGACTAAAAATAAGGAAAATATAATATCGAAAATAAATAAAATATATTA